TACAGGACAGGCTACATTTTTCACCACCCAATGGCATTATGGTTTTATCTGCCTTTTAACAGCAAGAACCCAAGAGGATCACCACTGTTATCCACACGTTAGTGATCATATGTAATGCTATGATGTCACTTCTGTAAACATGCAACTGTGGTCAGTAAAGAGGACTAACTCCTTTAAGTATTTCACAAGCAACTTCACAACTTCCCCCTCTTAAGTCTATTACATAGCCCTTATATTTCGTCTATTAGTGTTTCCCAACCCAGTCCTCCGGGACCCGCAGACAGTCCATGTTTTTGCTCCCGCCTGTCTAGCAGGGAGCTGGGAGGAAGCAAAAATGTGGACCGTCTGGGTCCCCGAGGTCTGGGTTGGTGATCCCACCTCTATTGTATCATGCTGTATATTGTGCACATCGTGTTTTGCATAGATTATAATATACACAAAGTGTGAATCCTGTATATTTTGGAGAGTGATTTTTAGTTCTCTGTGTTTATTATACATCAAATATAAACAAACTCAAACATGTGAAAAATTCACATTCAAACTATAATTAATCCATTCAAATCCAACAGCCCAGCCCTCTTGCTCACAGTCACTGGCGGTGAACGGACGGTGCAGTTAATATATATGTATAAACAGATTAAACACACACACACGAAAGCTACATGTTGTACACTGTCCCCTACAGTTTAATGCTTAAAGCACACTTAACTGGACATGACTGTATCGTTTAGATTTATACATATTAGTCCATTAATTCTGTGTTTTGTACTTTAAACAGACACTGTATAGTCATTAGTTTGCAAGGGATCACAAAAACATAAAAAAAAAATGTCCAACGCTGATTTCCTAGGGGCTCTGTACAAATGTGACATTGTATAGGCTGTTAATAAAATACTGAAAAAACTGATTCTGTGTGGCGTTTTTTTTTCTCTGAGGGGGGGATGTATTTGTATATGAATATATACACACACATATATACATACACATATATACACACACACGAATTGTGTTACATTTGAAATTTGTTCCAACTTGAATTTCAGCTCCCTTTTAATAATTGAAGAGAGACTAATACAGACCACCACATGAAAAGGGGAGGGAAAAAACACAGTGGCTTCTAGGTAAAACACCCTCATATAACCATATCGGCTGCATTCCTCGCCCCATTAGCAACCGGTCTTTCCCAGAGTCCTTAAAAAGCCGCCATCACCGCCCAGCCAGAATATGAAGACAGCGTGGAAAAATACAGCCATAGAAGGAACAAAATACATCTACTAATAAAGCAAAGTGGCAGAACCAGAGCAAAGAGGCACAGGAACAAAAAGAGAAGGGAGCAAATTTGAAGGGTGGGTTAGAACTTGATAAGAGCTGTGAGCAGACTGGAAATGTCAGACACCTCAGGCCTAACAAGGGTAAGTAGAAGCCAGAACAACAACCATCTTCAAAAATGTACGAACATTACAGCCCCCTCAGGCCAAAACCAGGGTCATCAGGAAGACCTCCCTGGACAAATTTGCAGAACCCTCCCAAAGGCAGCGGCAGAGATGCTTTCAGCACGATCAGCACGGCCCAACTCACCAGGGACGACAAAGAGAAACAAGAAATGGTCACTGCTCAGGTATCGACGTAGACAGTCAGGTTTTAGGGCCTTACGAGTGGCAAAGATGTCAGAAACGTACTATTCTAGCGAGCTATGAAGTTACTAAGGTCCGATGAGCAAAAACATCTAAATTTCAAAGGGAATAGCTGTGTAAATCCCAGGAAGCACAAACAATTCCTTGTTTAAACACTTTCACGTGTTGGAACACATTTAGTCAAAAAGGAATTCCTGAAATACATTCAGCATTAGCCTGTGACCCTCATCTAGATAAATGGTTTGGAAAAAGAACTACATTAATTACCAGACAGATTCTACAGTAAAAAAAGCATCAAGCACACAAAGATATCATTCAATTTGCACTTTATCTGAAAATGTGCTTACCTTACATAGTCATCTTATGACAAAAGCTTGTTGTTTTCAGCAGTTTTTGGAAGGTTTTCACAGCTGACCATGTTATATCATATTTTATTTAATCCCATATGCATTTCATACTCCACGGCTCAGAAAAAAAATCCTCTTGTGGAGACGCCCCCCCCCCCCATTTCCCAATCTGTGCTGTTTACCAATAGGAACGGACCCCAGCAGAACACCCCTCAGTCCCCAGCAGCCTTCTGCTAAGTTCAGACCCCATCTCTGACAGCTCTTTGGAGTTATTTCTGAATTCATCTTCTGCAGCCGTTTTGTCACAGACGACTAACACTAAGGACCCTTGGTGGATTTCAGCACGCTAACAGACAGAAGCCCCACTAAAGCTCATCAGCACTCATACACTTGAAGGAGTTTAACAAAATGATAGACACTGTGCAACCTAAGCCTGCAGCATCCATTCGCTCAGTCATTTCTTCATACAGAACATCCATTTTCTGTAACCGCGTGTCCTATTCAGTGTCGCGGGGGGGGGTCTGGAGCCTACCCCAGAGGCTACGGGCGCAGGGCAGGGAACAACCCAGGATGGGCCGCAGGGTTCACATTCACTCGCACAAGCGTTTCGGCAACTTCAATTAACCTCAGCATGTTTTTGGCCTGTGGGGGAAACGGGGAGAACATGCGAACCCTGGCGCAGACTTGAACCCAGGTCCCAGAGGTGTGAAGCAATAGTGCTAATGACTACACCACCATGCGCCACCCCTTATATCTTATACAGAAAACTACAGTATTAATGGATCTCAACAACATCCACCTTCATCATCTACTCCCTACACAGATCTGTCAGCACACAGGGAATGTCCGACATACAGGGGTAGGACTGGAGTATCGTGGTCAGTGACAAGTCCCTAGGGGCATCAGACTCCTACTAAACCAGCAGGACATGGGGTCATTTTCCCTGGGAGCTGATTTGCTTGAGCGTTACATTCTAATGCTCTTTACTTTCTTACCAACTAATGCAGTGTTACTAATGTCAGTCAGAACCATGTGAAATATGCTGAACCCTCCATGTCATAATACAAATATGGTGAATTCCACTCAAATGATCAACTCCCTGCGAATGGATTTTCGGTACTAACATTCCCACGGTCTCCACACACTAGTAATTTTTTTTCCGGGGGGGGGGGGGGGGGAATCGGCACCACTAGCAGTGCCAACAAAGCATGAACCACAAAGGAAATGGCTATCAAGCAGTATGTCATTTATAAACTCAACGGGACATATACAGTTTCTAAATTTTGCGGTTTATCTAGAGACAAATAAGGAAATTCACATGCATTGCCCAAAGCACGCTGACGAGAAGCTGCAGGATTTTAGGAACTAAATGGTTTGATTAATTTTTACTGCACTTCTGAGCAAAGATTCACCGTACAATCACGCACCAGCTTTTGGCCAATCAGCTTTGGGCCAATAAGCACAAAGACAACCACTGGAAGTGTGAGCAGGCAGTGTCTTCGGTTGCCACGGCTCCGCCGACCCGTCCGGCTGCCAACCGCCATCTGCACGGACAATCTGCATTTCCCGTCCCTAAGGACGCAGTCGACAAGCTGTGCCCTGCCGTCAGACAGGACACGAACAAGAAGCCGTTCTATGGCGAGGCACCGCCGTCAAAGTGGCTGATACCTCCCAGCCCATGATTGCGTGCACAAAACTGGACGTTGTACTTTGTCTTAAGCCGGAAGCTCCTTCAGCACCACCACAAGGCACACAAGACCGCCAGGCCAGTGAAGACGAGAGATAATATTCTAATCACTTTCGCATCGCAAGTTACACTATGGGTTCGCTCCCACACCCTGAGCAGATATGGAAATATGCTTCCACATTAGAACAATAAAATAATATTTTGTTGCCAATTACTCAACAGAAACTCATTTCTCCTCCTGACAAACTGCACTCGTTTTTCACAGATGCTGTAATACTGCTGGTCTCTTGTATTACCAGTCACCTTTGGGTTTTCCCAGATTACATAGCCTGGAGAAATAGCTCAGTAGTTCAAAGCAGCAAAACCAGCCCGACCCTCCGGTTAATTACAAGCCTTCATAATTACACATTCACGAAGGCTACTGACCAAAACGATAGGCATACTGCCAGATCAAATCCGCTGAACGACCTGTTTCAATTCAAAATCAGGCGGGATATACACATTTAAGAATGACATCTAACCCCGACGACGGCGTGCGGAGCCTGCAGCGAGCAGAGCGGGACAAAGGCGGCGCTTCGCCCGGCTCCGCCAGATGCCCCGAGCCGACCGGTGGCAGGCATGCAAATCAGCGTGCGATTGCAACAATGACCCATAAGACTTAATAATAAAGCAGCCAGCTGCACCGGCCGCCTACGGATCTTAAAGGACTGGCCAGAGTGAGAAAGCGCTCAAACACAGGCGATCAGGCTGCATTTCAAGTTCAGCCCCGAGACAAAGAAAAGCGGGGATCGGAAGGCTGTGCCCCCACGACCGGGGGGATGGAGGCTGCCGGTAAATACACGATCGCTGGCATCAAAGTTAACCATCAACGCACCCCCTCCCCCTGATAACTAGTTGTCTGCGAAATTTCTGCAAACCAGACGGGGATCCAATCGTACTCCCGGGGTGTCCGGCAGTTCTCAGTGGCCTGCCTTGTGATCCCTGCAAGACTAACGCTGCAGGACTGATGCCGTACCGCTTTTGTCAAAATCATAATAAAGAACTCAATGCAAATATGAGATTAGATCTAGGCGAACCGCACTCCGCTAAATTAGCGCCGATCGACCTGCATTCCCCACCGCCTACATCTGGGCACATCGTACGGACTATCCGGCGTCCACCCCTCGGAATCTGGGGAACCTCATTCACCGGTACCGCCTCCTTCCACCGCTGCTGTTTATAAGCCATTTAACCAGCCGACGAATTAACTAGGTGGTGGTGAGAAAGCCAGCCGTGGGCAAAAACTTCGGCAACATGCCGTGAAAAACAAGCGATGTCCTGGCAGTTACTTACGCGGCGGAGGACGGACGCGCTGCCCCTGGACCGTCCGGATCGCCGCTCCGCTCGAACCCCGGCTCACCCTCGGTGGCCTCAGCGGGCGCCACTGGCCGCTCCGAGTCGCCGCTATCGGGCCACTGCTCCGAGGAGGCAAACAAAGACGGCAATCGCTGCCCGAGTCCTTTGTTTCGCCCCAGACAAAGCGGCGGATGTTGGGTCAGATGGTGTGCCTCTCCACGCTGCACTTTCTTCTTTTCTTAATTTCAGATCCACTTTCCCCGAGCAAAGCGCTCATTAAATGCCCCGGACGGAGAGCAATGGCACTCAATCGTAGGTATGAACCGTGCCTGGTCTTTAAACGCACACAAATACCTCCTGCGTCACCGACCGCTTCTAGGTGCACTGCGGGATGTGTAGTTCATATTAAGGCACGGAAAGCGTTAAACGACGGAAGGCTGTGAATGGAAATACGTCTCCCATGATGCATTTCAGTGTATATTTGCGGCTTCCTTTGATTCAATGGGAATTGTGAGTGTTTCTCTTGGCACTGAAGTGATTTATCCAGTTCAGGGTGTACCCCAGTCATGCGTTCTGTGTCGCCTGTGAAAGACCCCATCCCGCTACTATACTAAGCGGTTGAAAGATGGACGAATGGAGTATCTAGTGTTCGTTTTTGCTTCTGCTCCTCCCGCACGTGATTGTCTGCCCATTTATGTAATTTATCTTATACATGCTCAGGATTGTATTGTTGTCTCACACCTCCAGGGTTCGGGGTTCGAATTTCTCCTCTGCTATTTGTGTGTCGAGTTTGCATGTCTTCATCGTGTGTGGTTTTCCTATGTGCAAATGAGTGTGTGTGTGTGTGTGTGTGTGTGTGTGCGCGCCTGCAGATCCCCCTCCCCTCCAAAAGCGACCCTGACCAAGATAAATTTTAGAAGATGGATGGATGGATTTTATACACACTGTGCATTGAAATCAAATCATATGGGCAATGCAGTGAAGTAGGTGAATATTAGGCAATCAAATGAGTGATGTGAACTTTATTGTCATCCCACCCTTATACAAAAAACATTCCTCTATGGCAGATCGTGCACAGGGCTACATTTATTGCACTGAAACATGACAAGTGTAACAATGCAATAAATGCACACAGTAGAAAAATTAATCAGACACATGAACAGGTGGGCTGCCATAAGTAGGGCAATAAACACATAAAAATGTAACAGCATAGATATCTATAGATATACGTAAACATGTTGTGCAAATTGGGGGGGTATCTGATATATGAATGCATATTCCATCATCCCAGCCTCCAAATACATGTAAATATACTGTATTCTGGCAGTATTTGACCGGATTCCATTTATACAATTAAAGTTTTTTTTACTTGTTAATATAAAAATAGGAAGTTATCACACCATCGTAAAATGACTTAAGGATGCATGAGGTCGAAGTGCAGCTCTAAGGGATAAAAAGACTGATGTTTTGTGTTTGGAATCACAGAACCTTTTTACATCTGAATGAATCTTTTTGACAGAAGCATTTCGCTATTTACTATGATGGCTTTTATCTACTGACTGATTTTTGTGGACTGCTATGGCAATTCTCATTGTCCTAGAGGATTTGAAACACTCTTTAAAGATGTATTTTCAACAATCGACTTATTCAGTGAGCACTGTGGTGATTCAGAGTAACACAGCGTGAAAGACAGGGTGTATCGTATTAATAGTCTTTTTGACTAAGGAGATATTTGTTCCCTGTTGCTGATTCTCAGCTCCTGGTCTGTCTGTGCACTGGTCAGTCTGCATGTTCTCCCTGTCTTTATGTGGGTATTCTTCCTTGAGCAGTGGAAAAACCTTGCCGCTGAGGTTAGCTCTAGACACTGCAGTCGGAGTGGGCCAATCCACCTCGCTTTACACTCCACACTTCTAGGGACAGGCTGTGAATCACCGTGATTGTGGCTTGGCGACATTGCCAGGCTGTTAACGATCGGATAATGATCGTATTCTTGGTGCACCTGTTTTAAACTCAGTCCCTTGTCGACTCCCAAAAAATGCACCAATATGTTTTGCTGCTGTCGGCACCATTCTGTGGTACCTTCACGCAAGGCGCCTAATTTGAATATATTCATTCATTCATCTTCTATACTGCTATTCAGGGTTGCAGGAATCTAGAGCCTGTCCTGGAAGCTGTGGGCACAAGGCAGGGAATAACAAAGGATGGGCTGCCAACCCATCGCAGGGCTCATCTAATTTGAATATCTAAACTAAAATATTCAGCTGTGCAGATGGGTAAAAAATAAATGAAAAAATCAGTTAAGTAGGTAAACATCACAGACAAAGAAAAAGGACGACAGAAAAGCAGTCTGCCGTCTCCATTCTCCTGCTGGGCAGATGGTGTGTTTCCTGACAAGCAGGACAGCTGCAGTCTCCATCATCCTCCAGGAAACAAAAGGCAGAATATGTACGGGATTAAGGATAAAGGGGCTGGAACACAGCGTGTCTCTCACACACAGGACCCGAGGGGTATTTTGATAACACGGTGGCATGTACTGGTCATTATCTGGCCCTGCTGGCACCCTCTTCCTCCTCTGCAGCTATACGGCCTCTTTAGTCCTGTCGCCACATAAGAGTCAGTCCATGAGGCCTGGGGATTAAGGGCCTTGTTCAGGGGCCCTATGGTGACATCATTAGGAACATTTTTGTACCAGTGGGGGTACGTACATTAATGTTGCTTGCACCTTAGGGATGTTCCTCAGAGTCCATTTCTGTACATTAAATTAGACTAAAAGGTACAATTACCTACAGCTAGGGTACAATTGGCAGACCCTTGAGGGTACAGCCCCAGTGAAAAGCAAAGGTACATATCGGTACTCTTTCTTCTAACAGTGTAGATGTGTGTAATGGAAGGAAATACACAGATAGACATCATCTGTGCAATGGGAGACTTCCCTATCCATTGCTAATTGACATCATTGTACATTTTGTTTTGATTACGGTATTCTATATAATGCATTTATTAATTACAGATACATTTATTGATGTAGTGCATTCTCTTATCCAGATTTTTTTATTACACACACTCCTCTACTTACGAATGAGATACGTTCCGAAGGGCCGTTCGTAACCTGAAATGTTCGTAAGTCGTTATTCAACATCATTTTAAGGGTATACGCAAGTATACTAGGATGCTGGGAGTACGTACGCTACACTGCTGCGTGGCGGGAGTAGCGGCCAGAAGTCGTACTAAGTGGAATTGGCTGCGCAGAAAAGAAAATTGATGTTGCGGACAGGAAACGGGAGCCCAATGAACACAGCTTGGACTTGCAGTCCTCTTCGTTCGTATGTCTGAAAGTTCGTAAGTTGAAAGTTCGTAATTAGAGGAGCGTCTGTATACAGTAATAAGAGCAGCTAGCAGAAAGAAATAATTGAAGCTACCTGAGAACATAGATTTGACGGATGGTATTTAGTTGACGCAAGGCAGGTGTTTAGTTTTGAATGTTTTGGTGTAATGCACTTAACTCCCCTATGGGAATTCCCCAGTGGATCACTCCGCTCGCCGCTGTCTGGTGAATCTCAGACTGCAGGGTGTCTATCCTGAACCACAGGTCAGTCAGGTTACAGCACAGGGTGTGGGCGCCACCCTTTGGGCAGCTGATCTCATAGGATTTCCCCAGTGACCCCCCCCCCACACACACACCCCATGTTACCAGTAAACTCCCCTGCCTTTTCATTCATAACCCCTGTGACACGGACAGTCATGTTCATCAACATTACAGCACTATGCCCTGCCTGTCACTATGTACCACGGAAGCAACGTTTAAAAATCACACAGCGAAGTACGTATTTCTTCTCCAAAGTAGTGCTCTTGCATAAATCTTCTGAACTTTGATCCCTTTTTCATTCCCATCACGCTGAATCAGTTAAAGTTAAACCCTTTCATTTACAGTGAGACATGACCCATGCTCTGATACACCTTATATTTGTCAACAAGAAGCTTTGGCGTGTGTGTCTTTGATAAGGAAGGTCTTGCCAGCCTCCGTAGTGAGCTGCACTTTACGTAACACAGCCGTGACACTTTTACTTACTCTGGTATTACATTTCCATACTTCGCTTTGTTTGAGAGTGGGCCTGTCTGTTGTCAGGCCACCTTAGTGACTGTAACCATGCATACTGCTATGTTTACAAAATGTTTTAGACGTGGCAAATGGAAACAGAACTGGCTGGTCTCCTTAAAGGTCGACACGTACAGAGCTATGCTTCAGTGAGTGTTTGTGTGCATGTTGAGTACACATACTAAAGTTTAATTACGGTTTTATTCCTCCCTGACTGCTATGTGACACCTTGATCATTTGGAGACATTGCAGTGCCTCTCATCCTGCATTTGCAGACACCTCAGCAGAAATCTGGGAACACATCAATGCAGGATCGATATTTCCTCTTTTCCCCTAACGGTGCTGTTTGTGGGGTAAACGAGTGACCTGACTGCTTTTCGTGGGTAAAATTTTGTCACTCATATTACTTCTTGAGAGGACAGGAAGTTTAATTCGTATTACAAAATCAGATTTTATTTTTTTAAATATCTTTCTGCATGGTGTGGTATTGGATTTTTTGTGGTTTTTATCGAAGTTAAGCACTTAAATGCGTGGCAGCTGTGGATTGTCTTGTCGTCTTATCACATGTTCTGCTGGCTGAGAGTTCCGCTGGTGTCCTTTCAGAATGCACCACTAGTCTCTTAATTCTCTCAGTATGGCGATTTTGGAAAGTCACCCATCCGATGCGCTCATCTCCTCTCTCACACGCCAGAGGAACTAAGCGACTGCCTGTCCCATGGATTTAGGTGCGTAAGAGCGCCTTAGGGAGAGTGATAAGACGCGCGGCATGTCGCTGCCTGTGTTTCTGGGATTTCTGGAGAAAGCCCCCTTCACATACTGATGGGGGTGTGTGAAAGTATGTCTGAGGGGGGTAGAGTCATGCGTAAGGTGGGGGTTCCAATGGGAATGTCTTTCTAAAGAACCAGGTGAGAAAAAGATCTGTAATATGACCTGAGGGACATGCCAGCGTCTTGTTATCTGTCAGCTGTGACTGGTTCTGTTCTTACTTGATGGCCATCACACATGAAAGGAGGCCTGCTGACTGCCAAGGTCAATATTCAGTCAGTACTCAGTACTCAGTCAGTATTCAGCAGTACTCAGTATTCAGTCAGTACTCATTACTCAGTCAGTATTCAGTCAGTACTCAGTATTCAGTCAGTATTCAGCAGTACGCATTGATTAATCGTAGTTAATTAATCGGTAGGTGATGTGTGGCTCAGCGAGTTAGGCTGCTGGGCCAGTGATTAGAAGGTTGCCAGTTCAAATCCCTTCGTAGGCAGAATGATGTCACCATTGGGC